TCTCCCAAAGATGTTATTCTCTAAGAGAGAAATATCCTGGACAAACTTCCCATGCCGGGAGAGGTAAACTTTGTTGTTGACAGGAACTTGACATTGGTAACAATGATACTGAATGGAGTAGCAAAGAAAGACACATGGAGAGAAGATGCGTTTGAGTTTGTGGTTGGAGTAGGGGCAAAACCACACATTTGGGGGTGGGGGAGGGGGGTTGCTTTGGTTTTCGTAATTGGCCACGGTTGAAAGGGACAGAGGGTGCGATGAGAAAAAGAGAGAGGGGGGGGGGGATGGAGTAGGGTTTGCTCGTGTGAGCAGTTATAGGCTCGATACAATATAGATATTTGAGGCATAAGTGATTGTATTGTTCTTCACACACACACACACAAGTGTAGCAACTTACCACAATAAAGGATACAGAAAGAGTCAATATATGAAAAGTCAATAGCTACATAATATACACATTAATGAAAAGAATATTAAAGAGTCACCTTTGCATGCTTCCTCGGGTTCCTATTTGCAAGATATTTTTTTATTTTAAAGTAATGTGACTCCCATTTTTTGATTTCTCAATTTCGTTTCATGGAATCATTGATGGAAGCAAATGTTGGGCAACAAATCAGAACGTGTTTTTGTCTTAACTTTTTTTATTTATAGTGTCCACTGCTCCTGCATATACTTGCATGTGAAGCTCCTTTTGGTTTTTGCAATATTTTCATCTTTTCCTCACAAATGGTATGCAGATGAAAGGCGAGAAGGAATTTATTGAGAAAATATTGAACACAGAGATCAATTTTTTCCGAGCTATTAGAGATGGGAGTGCACTGATGCAGCATATGGAGGATTTCTATTATATCACCCTATTGGAGGTATAGTGCCACATTTCTTTAACCATATTACTTTCCTAGCTCTCCAAGGCAATAATGTGTGTGTCTGTGCGATTCTTACGCTTCAGTTTATTCCCATTTTTCAGAATGTGAGGTCAAACTGCCAGAACGTTACAATCACGTCAAGAGTTGCTGTAATAATGGTTGCATCAGGTGAGAAGAGAAAACTAGCAATATTTTTAAAGCTTATAATGCCGTCGTACCTCAAAACAGGGGGAATGGGGTTGCAAATGGGTGTGTTGGGACTGAGGCTGATATATAACAGGTGCCGAAATGGACAGATTTGGAAATCGGCGTTGCACATTTTTCATAAAGGCCGGCATTTGGGTCTACCATTGTGCCCCCTTAGTCGGGTGGACGTGATTCCGATTCCTAAAATGGAGGAAACAGAACTAGAACCTCTTGGGACCGACCGATATGATTTTGGTCCGGTTCCACCAGTGGTTCCCATTTTGGTTCTTGTTTCGATCCGTTTATTATTTTTAAAAAATAAAACAAAAACTACCATTAGATACCAGATTAAACAAAAATAAAAAAAGAAAAAAAAAGAAAAGTAATGTGCATCTCTAGATCATTTTATGTCCCAACCAAGTTTTAATCACATCCTAGTTCACAGTGGAAAGAGCAGTAAAGGCAAAAGTCTACTCACCATAAAATTATCTAGAGATGCACATTACTTTTTGCCCTGTCATCTCGGGGACGGGGATTATCCTTTTTTTAGTTGTAATATACACCTTCTGTCCATAAATAAAGTTTTGGTAGCGCGTTATGATGTTTGACTGAAGTTATTTTCAAATCATTTTATATTGAAAGTAGTATGAAATTAAAAAAATAATAATTACATATTTAAAAACTACATGAAAAGATCTACAAAAGTAGAGGTGACATGACTATATCATTTCCTTTTCCTTCAGTTTTTCATTTATTTTAGGACGAAAGTTCTCCGTGGAATTATCCGTAAAAGCTTTAAAAAAAAACTATTTGTTTTCCCTAATCTCAGTACGAGCACTATTATTCAAAAGTTGTATTGTATCTACGATATGGGTTTACATAAATACTATGTTCCTGTTTGGAAATTACGTTTTCGATTAGTGTTAGTGTTTTGAATAAAATTTTAACGGTGTAAATTAACTTTGAAAACGCTAAATGCTGTCCATAGATAGTCCTTTCAAAATGCAAACACTAAACTCCCGTGCTATTAACTAGTTTCTTTCAAAGGCCTTACACTTGTTAGAAATCAGTTGAATACATAGAGGCCGATCCTCCAATGGATTTTTTAAAAAAAAAACAAGCAGTGTTACTATCTAACTTTTAATATAAGAAATAGTATTAGTGCCCCCACCAAAAAATTTAGATGCCCCATTAACCTTTTCTAATCTAAAAAAGGCAAAAAAGGTTGTAACACTTTAATTGAAAATGAACTTAAGTGATCTAATTGTGTATAATCTCTAACAATTAAAAGTGTTTAATTACTTAGTTATAACCATAGTTTTAAAAACCGAACCGGACCGGCCGGTCCGGACCGGGAACCGGTGAACCGGACGCCGAGCCTCCAATGGATTTTTTTAAAAAAAAAAACAAGTAGTGTTATTATCTAACTTTTAGGGGCTGTTTGTTTCAGCCTCTTAATGGTTCAGATGTCTGAATGGTTCAGCACTTAATGGTTCAGACTGTTTGTTTCAGCCTCTTAATGGTTCAGATGTCTGAATGGTTAAGAGATTTGCTTCTGAATGGTTAAGTATTATACAGAGTCTGAATGGTTAAGACCTCTTATTTGAATTGATCAGACATTTGCCTCTGAATAGTTAAGCAATATACTAGCTCTTAATGGTTCAGACCTCTTACTGGTTCAGCACTTAATGGTTCAGACCTCTTACTGGTTCAGCACTTACCCATTCAGAAGTTGTCAAACAGCCCCTTAATATAAGAAATAGTATTAGTGCCCCCACCAAAAAATTTAGATACCCCATTAACCTTTTCTAATCTAAAAAAGGCAAAAAGGTTGTAACACTTTAATTGAAAATGAACTTAAGTGATCTAATTGTGTATAATCTCTAACAATTAAAAGTGTTTAATTACTTAGTTATGACCATAGTTTTAAAAACCGGATCGGACTGGGAACCGGTGAACCGGACGCCGAGCCGGTCCATGCAATCAGACCGCATCCTGCATAGAACCGATAGAAATCGGTTAAATCTGGAGAAAACCGGCCGGTTTTACACCGGAACCGGTTTTCTTTTTTTTTTTAAGATTTTTAAAAAGGCCGGTTTTACACTAGAACCGGTTTTCTTTTCTTTTTTTTTAAGATTTTTAAAAAACGCATGTCCAAGGATTCGAACCCAGGACTGCTTGGGTGTGTCAGGCCTTGTAGAAACCATCTCGATCACATTGCTTTGTGTTTACTCTCTGCTTTTCGTTATGTATATTCTTTGATTAAATTTTTTTATCAAATTCTTTTTAAGTATTTATAGTTTTTTTAAACTAAAATTCAAACCCATTGATATAATTGATATGGAGTGCATATCGCACAAATATATATATATATATATATATATATATATATATTTAAATTATAGGTAAAAGTTTTGAAAAAAATTCAAATGACTTTTTATTTATAAGTTTTTTTAAATAAATAAATTTTATTTTTTATTTAATGACACAACTCAAGTAAATTAAGTTAAATTATAAATTTAGTCAAACAACAATTCTTTATTTATAAAAACAGAAAATGTTATTTTATTTACTTATATATATTAGTTTTTTGTAATTCAATTCCACAACGTATATATATACATATATGTATGTATGTATATATGTATGTATATACATACATAATGGTAATTCAAAACATTATTTTCAAACATGAATTTAAACTATGGTACACAATTCTTTGCTTCTAACAAAATGCTCTATCTGTCTTAATTTTAGTTACCATTTTCTTCTTTTACTCTAGATAACTTTTCTTTATTTATATGTTTTCATTAATTATTTAATAAAATAAAATATTTTTGTCAATCTCTTATTTTGTAAAATTTTTAACATATATATGCATGTATCTATATTTTTATTTATTTATTTATTAAAAATGTTTGAACCACTGGTTGAACCACTCGAACCACTGGTTCGACCAGTAAACCAGTGAACCAGTGCCTTGACCGGTTCGATCACCGGTTCGGTTCTGAAAACTATGGTTATGACTGATGTGTACTAATTTAACATATTGAAATGAAAGTTAGTTCTATTTGTCGTTTTACATTGGCTTTCAAAATGTCGTGATTTTCTAGATTTTCTGTATAAGAGCAATGACAGTGGCGAGCCTAATGCTTGTCATGCCTTGCCACATCAGTTCCCAACCAAAGTTGCCTTACGTGGCTTCTCCATTCCACTCTGTGTTTCGTTCCATGTATGCGACGACTGTCTCAATTTTTTAATTTTTTTTTGATTTTTTTATTTTTTTGCACAAAAGAAGTTATTTTTAAAAGAGTACATCTATGTTTTTGAAAAAAGATAATTAAAATAATTTTGATGATTAAAATGTGTAAAAAAAAAGGGTAAAAAGTAACATGAAAATGACTTGCCATTACAGGGCATGCCACTCTATTCTCTTGCCACACGCTGACTGGATTCCTTTCGATCGGTTAAAATATTCTTGATCATCGTATGACATTTCATTGTTTTATTCCACACTGCTAATGCTCTAAGAAGAGAGATCTATGACCTATTTTCTTACAAGGTCCCTAGCATCAAATCACTCCAAGCTCTCTCTTTTTCGTTAAATGACTCATGTGTTAGAAAGATATCAGGAATCTCCTATAATAAACTTATGGAGAATTTACCTAAATAATACGGAGTACTAAAATATAGCAAATTTTCCAATATTGTAGTATATATTTTTATTTTCCAATGTAATACTAGTGCTCAATGTCCATTGGTCATTGTTCCAGTGAATTTCCACCGTCACTGACATTGTTCAAACTAAATGTTCATCATCACTAGACATTATTCAAGTATTATTCAAGTATTATTTAGAAAATTAAAAGGTTTAAGTGCTATACTAGAAAAAAAGATATGTTTTGGTGCTATTTAGTGTAAATTTTACAAAACTTATTATAGTTATCTATAAAAGGTATATTAGTCACACATTAATTTTTAGGTAGTAATATTATTCCACCAACAACAAATAAGTTTGTTGTTTACTAGTGCATTACAATAACACACAACTGAAAACTTATACGTAGTATTCCGTATTTTGGTTAATCATAACTGAATTGCTCACACGTGCAATATTTTTATGGTCCGGACCTAAGGTTCATAGTGTCTAAATGGTTGACTTTCATATTTGCTATATAAACATTTTTCAAGTATTGAGATACACATTTTTAAATGAAAAAGTCAAAAAATTGTGTGAGAAGGAACCACAGAACTTCTCT